CATGTGTACTTCCCCTTCACTTTTTTTAAAAAACAATTTTTAAATAGGTCTAAAATGAGATCAAATAATAAGCTGTTGCATTTAACCTAACTATATCTGCCATAATAGACTTTACAGTGCTCTCTGTCTGATAACAAGGCTCTTGACTTCCCTCAATTTTGGAAGGACCTGATAATTTGATGCCATTCAGAGTAGTTGGTGGTGATATCCAGGAACCATCTGGACCTAGGCTCAGAGTTGCTGATTTTCACATGATCTGTCATTCCATTGGACTAATTATTTCCACGTGTCTTCAATTTTCATTACTTGCCTTTGCCCTGAACAGGAGACCAATAGTTGCACCTTATATGGCTATCCATGAACGTTTAAGATCTCATTTGCTACTCACCAAAGTAGTATGTGGGCTTTGTGGATTACTTTGATCTTTTCATGTTTCCTCTCACTCACTGACACCGAGTCTATTCCGATGCATAGCAACCCTGTAGGGCAGGGTAGAATTGCCCCTGTGGATTAGAGACTGTGAATCTTTTTTAAAAATTAATAAATCATTTTATTGGAGTCTCTTATTACAATCTGTACATCAATTGCATCAAACGCATTTGTGCATATGTTGCCATCATCATTTTCAAAACATTTTCTTTCTGCTTGAGCCCTTGGTATCAGCTCCTCTTTTTTTCCCCCTCTCTCCCTCACCCTCCCACTCTCATGGTCCCCTGGCAAGTTATAAATTATTATTTTTTTTCATATCTTACACCGTCCTCTGTCTCCCTTATCCTACGTTTCTGTTGTTCATCCCCCGAGACTAAATCTTTGGGGGAGCAGAAAGCCTCATCTTTCTCCCACAAAGTGGCTCCTGCGTCTTTCAATAGTGCAACTCAAAGCTTGAATTTTGTTCCCCTACTTCTATCAGGGAAATGCTGAGTGTGTTCTTCACATTCAGTGCTCTAAATCCAGGACTATGCACAGTTTATTATAATACTTTATTTCATTTTCTCTACCTGCCCTTTGAAATTTCTGCCCAGCTCTTTTACTTCATCATCTAACGTGACCGTTGGTGCCTCCCACCCCCGCCATGAGCCACCCCCTGTATAATCCCTTCCATTGAAGAGTGAACACAGCTTATGACTTATCTCCAGTGGCTATAATAGTACCTGGCACATAAATATGCAGAGAATGTTGAATGAATGAAGAATATTTGGCAAAAAATGGGGAATTGTTATAGAAAGGATCTGTCAAATTGTATAAACCCAAGACTCTAGAAGTATGATTCTTTATCTTTTCTTGATGTGTAAAAGTGTAAATGTAGTTAATGTTTACAAGATTGGCTTTGGGTTCAATTCTTATGTGCCACATATTAATTAGGTGCCCTTGTAAAACGTAAACTCCTTAAACACTATTGAACAAACTAACATGCCAAGACCTTAGAACAGTACCTGACAAATTATATATTTTAGATACTAGTTATTATCACTACAAAAACTGCTACAATTGTCATACTTAAGGGTATAGTTTTGATCATCATCCATAAGTGCTTCAAGTCCTCTTCATTTTCAGTAACTAAGTTTGTGTCATCTGCATATAGCATATTGTTAATGAGTCTTCCTCTAATCCTGACTAAAAGGATTACATTTTTAAATATGGAATACTGTACACCTCAATATATAGAAAATAAAAAGCAACATCATGATAAATGGAGAAAAATGTTTCATTTTAGTTGTATCAATAATCAGTGCCCATGGAAGCATTATTCAAGAAATCAGATGTACTGCATTGAGAAAGTCTTATGATGAAACCTCTTTAGAATGTTGAGGAGAAAAGATGTAGCTTTGAAGACTAAGGTGTACCGGACCAAATTCTTTGTATTTCCAATCGATATATATGCAATTTACTTATATTTATATGTAAGCAGAACAATGAGTAAAGAAAACCCAAGAAGAATTGATGCATTTGAATTATGGTGCAAGCAGGAAGCATGTAGTAAACCACCCACTGCTAGAGCATGAATAAAACTCGTCGGACACAAGGAGGGTTGGTAAAGTCGGAAGACCCTTATGAAGATCGCACAGGGACAGGCCGGATTTCTTTCTGTTGGATATATGATCATTGTGTGTTAGCTATCAACTTAATAGTACCTACAACAACAATAGCCAACATTATCATAAGTTATTATTATGATTGCTTATAATTTTCCACTGTCAGCAAAACAGTGAGATCTGAATAATTATACATGAAAATAATATTTTCCTTTACCTTTTATATGGAACATGGGGAGGTGGTGTAGTATCCTCTCATTTGTATTCAATATGTAATGTAAACAAAATAAACATAAAATACAGCTTTAAAGTAATGACTATACTTTATATGCATTTGAGTTTTATTCTTTTTCTAAACATGTGCAATTAGAAGACAACATCAGTATTATTACATGTAATAAACAGAGAACTGGGTATAACTCTTCATTTAAATAAATTCATATATAATGGGTCTTCAAAAAGTACATGGAAACATGGAATTAAAAGATAATGAATTTTTCAGCAACTTTTTGAGACCTCCCTCATATATATACCTACTCCTCACTTAAAGATGATCTCATTAGCCTACATTTCCCAGTTACAATAGTAGTAAAAAATCTGCTGATTATTTTGCATTAGTGACATATATATGGGAGTAATGAACACTGAGTGTTAGGCAAGAGTAACTCTGGTTGTACCACCTTGACTTGGCCATGATTCTCAGTGGCTGAGCAATTATGTAAAGTAGTTTGGAAGTTATTTAATGAAATTTGTAGTCCTCCTTCATATTGTGATGTGACATGATCATGCTCCATTTGCACATTATACTGATTTGTTAATAGCAACCTATTCTTTAGAACTTAACCATCTCGATAAGTGAAAAGTGGGTGTGTTACTTTTTGTTGTTGCTCTTCATACTCTATGTAGTAATACTTTGAAAGCTTGGGAAAGGCTTATTCTATAATACAAATAATATTATTTTTGTTAGTAATCAGCTATTCCAGAGCTAGAAAGAGAAAGTAGACAACACAATGATAGTGATAAGATAGAATTGTATTGTTCTATGTTAAAGAGTAAGAGACTGGAGTAAGATGGCCCCATTATTCAGAGGCTAAAGATCTTTCTTTAAAGACACTCCTTTACTTCTTGATCTAGAATAAGCTACCCTAACTCTGTCTATCAAGTTCAGAATTGACAGGGAGGACGAAAAGGGGAAAGGAAAATGACAGAGCCCTTTCGAGGTGCTGTTGCTAGCATCCTCACGATTTTTTGCTTGTATTCTTTGGCTAAAGAATTTTATCACGTGTTTTTTCAGCAAGGGAGTCTGAGAAATAGATTTAGGAGTTAACATTGTTGCCTTCAAAACAACTGGCCTTTTGCTAATGAGGAACAATGCAGAGTGGCTCTAGAGTAAACTAAATAGGTGTTTCTTTCCAAGTGATTATAAATCTGACACGTGTTTATGAATATAGCATTCAACTGATGTCTTTGAAAATTGGGAAGGGAAAATACCTTATGGCAGAGAGAATACTACATATTCACCAGACTGCTTCATTTTCCTTCTGGAATCACAGGCAGACTATAGCCCCTAGCCTCGGTGACAGTCGGGGCTCCATGCTTGAGTTATGGCTAGTGGAATGCAGCCAGAAGTGATCTTTGCTAGATCTAGTCTCTAAAACATTCCACATGCTTCTCCAAGCTCCCTGTTTTCAAACTGTCAGCCAGGTGCAAAAAATGCAGTTGAGTCTTCCAAGGGTGGAGAAGATTATAGAGTCTAGGCTGGAAGAAGGCTGGGTTTCTTACTGATGACAGGGAACAGAACCCGTCCTCATTTTGACTGCTTGGTGCCCCATACTGAACCTTGACATCAGCAAAATAAACTTATTAAGCCGAGCCTCTGGGATTTAGAAGTTGTTTATGTTACATACGTCTCACTCTATGGGAGAAAGATATTATAGTCTGCCTCTGTGACGATTCCAACCTAACATATCCCATGGGACAGTTGTCCGCATCCCTCTAGGGTAGCTGTGAGTCAACTCAGGCCTGGTGGCACACGACAACAATAATGCAGAGTACCTGACATACAGGCCAAAGAAAACAGTTCATGGCCAAACACCGGCATCCCCAAATTGTCACTCACGAATTTAAGATGGGCTTTTAGTCAATTGAAAAATATTTTAATGATGATCAAAATGTACACAATACATAACAAACAAAAAAAACACAGAAATGAAATTATGATAAAAATGTCCCTCATCGAACTGCCCAAGTTAAAACCACACAAAATAGGAGAAAGATTTGCCAAATACAAAAACTGAGGATTTCCAATGCTGTAAGTCTTTATGGTAGCAGAGAGCCTCGTCTTTCTCTATAAAGCAGCTGGTGGGTTTGAACTGCTGACCTTTGGTCGAACTGCTACAGCCCAACCTGCAGTCCACTATGCCGCCAAGGTACCTAGTATGTTATAAGGGCATGAGAAATGAATACTTACTTTCCAAACAACTTTCTCCTTAGTGTCTGGTCAGGAATATCTGTTCAGGAAGAAATCTCTGAAACTTTCCTGAATATAAAAGGAGAGCTATGCCATGTTTTAGAAACAAATAAAAATATTACATATATTAGAAAGAAGTTATTCTCCATAAAGTAATGTATAGTTTCAATCCAAACAGACTCAAAATCCTCCTAGACATTTTTAAGAAGCTGGGCTAGCTGGGTCTGACATTAATCTGTAGAGATAATGTGCCAGAGAAACACGCACGCATGCACGCACGCTTGAGAGTACACAGTCTTTTTAACTGGGTCTAATTATTGTATAGTAAAATGATTTGCCACTCTCTGTCCCCTAAGAAATCAGCCCACCCTAAGGATTTGTACGGACACTAAATAGACACTTGTTGCCCTTTCACTTTAAAGTTCTTTAAAAGAGAACATTTCTACCCTTTAACACTTCAACAGTTTAACTTGGCAATTCTTCCTCCTCCAATTCAGGGAAGGGCCTTCGGCCTTGCTCTTCACAGGGCGGGGGCGGAGCATCCCCTGAGAAGCTTGGAAGTGAGCAGAGCTTGGCCAGTCTTGCAGGAGGAGCTGCATTTCACACAGGCTGCAGCTGACAAGAAGCTTCAAGGTAACGGCTGTCTTAGAGCTAATTATTTTCTGGGACTTTCTCAGAGTCCTAGAGTAAAGGTGAGAAAAACAGAAACTGTGGTTTTGGGTGTGTGGTTATGAGAAAATTGCTGGTGGTTTTTTGGAAGGAATTTTGTATCTCTTAATTCTTTACAACTCCACAGCAAGAAAAGGGGTGATCAGATTTCAGTCTCTAAATTAAGACTTCAGTGGGGCATGACCGTTCATGCTAATTTATTGACTTCACATTCAAGGCTCGTACGTTTGCTATATTATTGTTTGAATGTTTAAGCATCTGTTAATTTGCACAGAAAAATTACCGACAGAAAGATGTGACAGCATGGGGACTATGGAAATTGGATGACATAGTCATTTTTATGTGTGTGCCACGTGTGTGTGGAAAGGGGATCAAATGTATAGCTTGAGTGAAAACATTTGCACATAATATACACATGTCTCTGTGTAGGATTAGAGACAAAAAAGTGCAGAGTGAAACTAACAGTCAGCATTTCTGGGTGGTCAGGTTATTATTTTTGAAACTTATTTCAGCATATTTTGGGATGTTTTCATGAATTTTATTATCATAACAGAAAAAGGAGGTTAAAAAATGTATACCCATTTTGTTTCAGGCACATAAACACATTCACGCACACACACACCCTCCACCCTTAAATGTTGCCGATCGTGATAGTGGAATTTTTCGTGGGCCTGATCAAACTGGGAGACTGGTTGCTGTGTCAACTACAAATGCTGCATGTATCCGCCTTGTTTATCAGTCTTCCAAGCATAGGCGACCTTGGGCAGCAAGAACCATTTTTTTCTATGTCTTCTAAATTTTAGAGTGAGCTAGAAGATTCCATTTGTTTCTAAACCAAATTAAAATGTTTGAAGTTTAAAATATATTCTATGGCATGAGGCAGGCATACAAAGGAATACTATGAACTGGTAAATGGAAGCCTGAACCTGTAGTGATTTGAAAAGGTGTCTGAGAAGTAGTGGTTGATAGAAAAGGCAAATTGTAGAATAGAAGGCACTATATGGTCTCATTTTAAGATACATATTAATATACTGATGGTATAATATACATATGTTAGCATAATATATGCAACAAACCATAATATATGCTAAAGTGTTTAACGGGATTATTTGTATAATTAGAGAAATAGGATAAGCTATGCTTGCCTCTATTTAAAAAATCCTTAATATATATGTAATCCTTTCTTTTTTCATATCATCAGGGGAAATTCTGACACAATGTTATGAGCTTGGTATAAACCTCACTGAAAGTAATTTATAAAAAATCCTGTGGAAGCTACTTACGGCTGTCAAATGATTTTCAAGCCATGATTTGAGTGTGGTCCAAATAATATGCATCCATTTATATGTGTAAAAAATTCTGAAATGATATACAGAAAATATTGATAGTGATTTTTCAAACAAGGGTCATTATGAATACGGACCAACTCGTGGCAATGGTTAGTTTATTATTTTTAGAGTTGTACTTTCTTTTGCATACATCGTTCTGCATCTTGAATTTTCAATAAGTTTCTAGAGGTTTTCATAGTCAGAAACATTGGAGATTCTGATTCCACACAGCAAAACACATAAGTGTAACACAGAAAATTCCAGAAATCTGAAAAAAGCTGCTGTCTGTCTGTCTGACTGGAATTTCCAGCTTCTCCCAAAAGAAAGACTTGATAGTGACTGAAAGGCCTGGGCAAGGGTCCCTGGTGGCCATGTGGCCTATGTGCGAGGCTGCTAACTGGAAGCTCAGTAGTTCAAAACTTTCTCCATAAGAGAAAGAGACAGCTTTCTGCTCGTGTAAGGAAACCAAAGAGTTAGTTCAACTTTGTCTTCTAGGGTCCCTATAAGTCCAAATCAACTAGATGACAGGTTCTTTTTTTAAATAATGAAATCATTTTACTGGGGGCTCATACAACTCTTATCACAATCCACACATACATCCATTGCGTCAAGCACTTTTGTACACTTGTTGCCATCATCATTCTCAAGACATTTGCTTTCTACTTGAGCCCTTGGGATCAGCTCCTCATTTTCCCCCTCCCTCCCCGCTCCCCCCTCCCCCATGAACCCTTGATGATTTATAAATTATTATTATTATTTGGTCATATATTACACTGTCCGACGTCTCCCTTCACCCACTTCTCCGCTGTCCGTCCCCCAGGGAGGATGTTATATGTAGATCCTTGTAATCGGTTCCCCCTTTCTCCCTCACCTTCCCTCCACCCTCCTGGTATTGCCACTCTCCCCACTGGTCCTGAGGGGTACATCTATCCTGGATCCCCTGCATTTCCATTTCTTATGTGTGCTGGTGTACATCCTCTGGTCCAGCCGGATTTGTAAGTTAGAATTGGAATCATGGAAGTGAGGGGGAGGAAGTTTTCAAGAATGAGAGGAAAATTATATGTTTCATCATTGCTACGCTGCACCCTGACTGGCTCCTCTCCTCCCCGCCACCCTTCTACAAGGTAAGGCCTTGGGTAGGCTGCAGGTCTGATTCTAGTCACAAGAGGGTGGTTGTCATATTTCCTAATTTTTTCAAGCAACCATTGATAAAAAGTGGACCCAATAAAGCAATAATATGGGGGTATTGGAGCAGCAGCAATCTAGTTGAGACAAATTACTAAGAGGTGAAAGACAAATTACTAAGAGGTGATGGTAGGGCAGGAAAAAGGAACCAGAGGATAGATCTAAGAAGCAAAACTATAGATAGAGGTATAAGCATAGGTGTGTACATATGTAAATACATTAATTTATAAAAATAGAGGTATTAGCCTATGTACATAAGGCAATACACTGAGGTAGTTGACGAACTTCAACCCTCTGCCCACGCCCTCCCTCAGGGAAAGAACACTGTTCTAACAACCTGGCCTTCTGTGACGCGCACCCTCCGGACATGAGGTAGTTAAATACTCTGTTGTCAATTTGAGACTTAAAGAGTGAAGGGGTGGAGTTTAGCCTGTCAATCAGGTTGCAGCTTGATGACCTCATTTGGAGGAGCTAAGGAGACAGAGCTTGCTGGAGGTGGCATACACGCTCTCACCTTGCAAGACATTCTTGTTGAGAAGACACATGTAACTATGCTAGAGCCCTAGAGCTGAAGGAGCCACGTGGAGACACCTGCCAGCGCTGAGATGCTTACACTGCCACTGGATCCACAAGGCTTTCCACCCATTGGCCTGTGATCATCCTGCATTTGGTGTCATTGCATGTGTTGCATGAGTCTGAAGAGGAATTTATAGCTATGTATGGGACTTATGGACTTGATCTGGACTGGGCTAGGATGTTTTCTTAATATACACTTACTCTTTATATAAAGTTCTTTCTTATACACATATGCGTGTTTATGAATTTGTTTCTCTAGTCTACCCACAATCGCTGAAGACAGAATTGTTGCATAAGCAAATGTGGTGAAGAAAGTGGATGGTGCCTGACGATCAAAAGATAAAGCATCTGAGGTCTTAAACCCTTGAAGTTAAACAAGCGGCCATCTAGCCAAGAAGCAAGCCCATATAGAAGAAGTACACCAACCTGTGCAATCATGTTGTGTTGTTGGGACTGAGTAACAGGCATCAGAAGACCCAAAATAAACAAATAAACAAATAAAGAAAAAACATATTGTTGAGAATGAGGGGGGTTGGAGCAGAGACCCAAAACCAATATCTAGACAATGGGACATCCCTCACAGACGGGTCTCAAGTAGGGGATGAGTCAACCAGGGCACAGTATAGCACCAATGAAACACACAATATTTCTCTGGTTCCTCGAGGCTTCTTCACCCCCCACTATCATGACCCCAGACCTGTCTGTCACTGAGGCTAGACTGAAGCATTTGCACAGGTACAGATAAGAGATAAAAGCTCAGGACATACGGAATCTAGGAACTGGAATGGGAATAGGGATACCAGAAGGGGGAGAAGAGGGGAGGAAGAGGAAACTGATGGCAATGATCCACACATCACCGCCACCACCACTACCCCTGGGGCACAAACAACAGAAACCATGGCGGAAGGGAGACAGTGGTTGGTGTAAGATAGGAAAATAATAATTTATAATTTATCAAGGGGACACAGGTTGAGAGGGGAGGAGGGGGCGGGAAGAGGAGCTGATATCAAGGGCTCAAATACTAAGTAAATGTTTAGAAAATGATGATGGCAACATATGAACAAATATGCTTGATAAAACTGATGCTTGTGCTGTTATAAGAGCTGTAAGAGCTCCCCAATAAAATGATCTAATAAAAAATTTTTAAAAGCATTATAGGAGAATATGAGACAGCATGTGAGATGTGCTTGTAATTCTATTTTTTAAATTGCATATATACATAAGGGAGAAGAAAAATCAAGAAGCAGATGAAGGATAAACTATTGGGGAATTGATTGGTATTTAAACTGTTGTCAGCAAAACTGATTTTCTGAAATGGAAAGCCCCTCCTAATGGACAATAAAAATTGTTTTAAAAATTGTACATGTATAACTGAGAAAACCCCACATAAGGACTGATGGGAGACCTCAAACCGAAAACATACAAAATCAGGTCCATCAAAAACATGGGGTCATTGTTACTTGCCTTCTCTTCTGTTCCACCTCCTACTCTTCCTGAGAAAGAAAATTCCCACATGAACCCAATAGTATGCCTGGAAAATAATCATATTATCTACATTGTGGGTGAGATTTTGTCTGATCCTGTATTTCAGAACGGCATGCCTGCCTTTCCAGTTAGTTGATTTAATTTCCTGTTTTCTCTTTGAACAGCCTCGGTTAATATCAGAAGTTCCTGCAGCCAGATAATCCACTGGTGCATGTCAGTGGAGCTCTAGAAAGGCAGGGAGAAGGCTTTGCTAGAGTGAGAATCCAGACCAACGCCTTGCAGGTCCAGACCCACCGTCAAGTCCTGTGAAAACTGGTAAGAGTATACTCATTTTATGAAACATTTCATGTTAAAAAAATGTTCCAAACTTGAGGGATACCTTATTTTGCTTTCTGCTGTTCAGCCATAGCACTTTTAATGAAAGACCACGTTGCTTATGAAAACCATGTAAAGTTGAGATTTTGGAGTACTCTTCACTTTGCTCCTTTTTCGGCATCCAGAACATTCTATAATTAAAAGTCATAAGTTCTAATTGTGATTGTGGTGGGGGATCTGATGTAGAAGTAGTGTGATGGAACCAGCCCGGTGGTGTAGTGGGGTTATGCACTCAGTTGCTAACTGCAAGATAGCAGTTCAAACCCACCTGGCATTCCATAGGAGAAAAATGAGGCTGTTGGTGCCTATAAAGATTTATAGTCTAAGAAATTGAAAGAGGACGTTCTACTCTGCCCTATAGGATCACTGTTAGTTGACATCGACTTAACGACAGTGACTTATCAGAAGTCCCAGCCTAACTGCCTGATTCTCAAGAAATCCTTGGGAACTACCCTAACCAGTTAATGACCATAATACCATTTCCCATATGTGCCTAAGGTAGCTTTTAATGAGCGCATTGTATCATTAGCAGAGTCCAGGTGGTACTCACACACTACCTTTGCGTCAATGCCGACTCGTAGTAACCCTGTAGGACAGAGTGGAACTGTCTCTGTGGGTTTCTGAGACTGTGACCATTTATGGGAGTAGAAAGTCCCCTCTTTCTCCTGCAGAATGGCTGGTAGTTTCAAACTGCCAACATTTTGGTCAGCAGCCCAATGCGTGACCATATATCTGGCTGCTTTGGGTGCACAGGGCAACCCTTGCAGCTTAAAATTGTGAAACTGCATTGTTAGACTACTACTTCTCAAAGAATGCTCCTGGGCGCATAGCATTAACATTATTATAGATGCAAATTTGGGGCCCACCCCAGATATTCTTAATAAAATGCTTAGAATGGGGGCCATATATCTCATTTTAATGAGTCTTTTAGAATCTAGATAATTCTGAAGCAGGCTAAGTTAAGAGAGCTATTACATTACAAGATGTAATATTAGGGAGCTAAACTACCAGAGTATCCAATACATAGAGGTCCCTCCCTATCTCTACAGCCCCTCCCCACTTCCATTGGTTTGGGTACTCCTTAAGAAACGTACACTATAAAAGTCAGGTTCTTGGAACTGTGATCTGCGACCACTTCTCTAATTCGTATCCCCCATCCTACATTGTCTATATGTTCCTGTAGTCACAATTACTCACTTTTGCAAAAGAATTCTGTTGACATGTTTTGTGTTGTTCCTGTTCCCTATTCCAGTGCTGTCGCATTCAAACCACGTGCTAAAGAATCTGTTGGAGATCCAGGTGGAAGACTACAGACCACAGAAGTTGTAAACTCTTTTTATTATTAAGACAAAAGAAGTCTGCTGAAGAGTGTTGTTTGGGGGAGGACCTGCCTGCATTGGCATAGACAATCAGATAACTCAACCCCTGATAATAACCTGTTGACACACAAATCCAGATCACAATGGATGCTGAGTATGTTTTGTGCATCTGGAAAGACCAGTTATGGCCAGCAAAAGTTTTATCCAAATCTGAAGCTTCATCAAATGATCAGGTAAATGAGCTATTTTCCCTAGAAGTTCAAATACTCTCACTAGATGAAAAAATTCAAGTGAAAAGCACAGAAATAAAGAATCTAGATAAATCTCAAATTGAAGACATTTATTCCTCACTAGGGTCAAAATCAGAGGTCAGTGATATACCTAGAGAGGAAACATCCTATCAGAGATCACTGAAAGCAGCACTGGATATTCTGAATGAGAGAGCAAATTTTAGTCAAGCAAGCACTTCAAGTGAAGAAGAGACCCTTACACTCTCCCAAAGTGTACCACAAAGTGAATCTGATGCACCCCCTCTGAAAAAGTTTCGCAGAAGTGAAGAGGAAAATGAAAACCCAATAAGCCTTTTGGAATCTACAGAGAGTGATAATTCTCTGTGTGATGACAAACCACAGTTACACACAAACGAAGTGGAAACCAAGGTCTTACAAACCTCCACCGGGAGTCAAACTTGGACTTCATTTTCAGAAGATGATGATGATGAGAAAGAGAGCAAGAGTAAGCCTGACGTCTTAACAGTTATGCCCTTGGATTCTACAGTCAAAGAAGAGGAAAAATATGTTAAAGATGAGAAGTTTGATCCAATTTTCCCATCAGATTTTCTCACTGTGCCCAAAGCTTTTAAAGAGGAAGTAGATGACACTGACCCAGAGCCTCTAGCTACTTCTTCTGAATGCTCTGCCTTCCCAGAGAATAACGAGGATCCTGGAGAGGGTCCCTCAAATCCAGGCATAGATGTTAGCCAGAACCAGCCTTCCACAGCATCAGAGATGGTTGCTGTGGCATCTTCTGAGCCCGTTTCAGGAGAATCCTCGAGCTCACCGAATGCTTCGAACCGTGTCACGGATTATTCACGCTATCTTGTGAACAGTAGAAGAAGCCTTGAGAGACTGGACTGTGACGATTTTGAAGAACTTAGAGGCTCATCATTGCATTACACGTCGATTGCTGATTCTATATTAAACAATGATGAGGAAGAGGAGGAGGAAGAACTTCCACGCTTTATTTTTCAGTATAAGCCAAGTAATTTTGAGGCAGGAATCCTTGTCTGGTTTAAATACCAAAAATACCCATATTGGCCAGCAGTCATTAAAAGCATTAGGCAAAAAGAAAGAAAAGCAAGTGTGCTTTTTGTTGAGCCAAACCTGAATCCTGAAAAGCGAGGAGTTAGAGTGTCCTTTAGAAGACTAAAGAAATTTGATTGTAAAGAAAAACAAGCACTAGTGGACAAAGCCAGGGAGGATTATAGTGAAGGTATTGACTGGTGCCTATCACTCATTTGTGACTACAGAGTTAAGATAGGTTGTGGTTCTTTTTCGGGCTCATTTTTTGAGTATTATGGTGCTGACATCAGTTACCCAATTAGAAAGATAATGAGACGAGATACCATAAGGGATCTTTTCCCCAAACTGCCTAATGAAGATACTGCAGAAACTATGGTGGCAACATCCCAGACCAAGAAAATGTCCTTCCAGAAGATTCTCCCTGACCGAATGAAGGCTGCTCGTGACCGAGCCAACAAAAACCTAGTAGACTTCATTGTGAATGCAAAGGGAACGGAGAGCCATCTTCTGGCCATTTTAAAAGGCAGGAAAGGGTCCAAGTGGCTGAAGGCATTTTTGCATGCCAACAGATTCATGCCATGTATTGAAACTTACTTTGAAGATGAAGATCAGTTGGATGCTGTGGTAAATTATTTACAAGAAATCTGTAAACAGATAGATGAAAGAATGTTGACCTTGATAAAAGGTGATAAAATTAAATTCATCTTGGAAGTTCTTCTGCCAGAAGCAATCATTTGTGCAATTTCTGCTGTTGATGGATTAGATTACAATGAAGCTGAAGCAAAGTATCTGAAAGGACCAACTCTAGGCTATAGGGAAAGAGAATTATTTGATGCAAAAATCTTATTTGAGAAGAGAAGGAGACCACCAACAAATGAATCTCAGTAAATCTGAGAGTCTAAACCGTAATATAGAGCATTCATAAATATTCATTTTTTACAGAATTTCTTTACCATTTTCTCTAACATGTAGATATTTTCTGGAACCAGGAAACTTTAGGGAACATGCTCAGTTTTGAGATCTTTAGGATCTGTGGACATCTTCATTTCTTTTTCTTGTGCTTCTTCCAAATCATTTTTTAAATACATTTGAGCAGTTCTACTTTCCTGTACATTTCTAGAATGCATAATTCCTAGATTTTAAGGGGAAATACCATTTTGCTTTATGATATTTTTGTGTTCATACGGTATAGTTAAATACAGTATGATCCATCATTGTCATATTAAAAATGCACTGGTATCAAATATGAAGCAAGATAATCAGAATAAGTAGCCTAAAAGATACATCACTTATATATTTTTTGCTTACTTTTTATAAAATATTAGGCTTTCTCCTAAGATAGTTGAATTATTTTTCCTGCCATGCCTATTTATTTTTGGGAAAAAAATATATCTCTGAAACATAGAACCAAAGATAGATATGCTTTGCTATATATATATATCTATATATCTATGTTACAACCAACTTCAAATGCTTTTGCAAGGAAACCATCTGAAGTTCAAATATAGAGTAAATGGATTATCTGCATGTAGTCCCTCTGTGGGCTAATGACATCTCAGCAAGCTGAACATTATTTGGGAAGCCTTAAGCAAGATTGCTCACTCTGTATTTCCCTGGAATTCCATTTATGGGAGTGTCTACACTTCAATGACTGAATGGTTTCTTAAAAGACAGACTTCTGGCTGCCTTAACTGGCAGTGACTGGATCTTCTTGATAGCCTTCTCCAAGGTGGAAGGACTCTAGAGTCACCACCTGCACAGTCTGCCTACTCTAGACCTGGACGTCCAGGCTGACCGCTGTAAAGCTCATCTAGTCTTGTATCAACGGTAGGAAAAACAGTGACATTTTGGTCCTAACTCGTGTATCTTCAAAGGTGTTATTTGTCTCAAGTCAAGCAAGCTTCATCCTCTGGCTTATTCATAGAGTAGCTCTAACAGTTTCCAGCAGTATAAATGCTGATCGGAAAGTCATTCCAGGCTACTTTCAAGAAGAGCTTCAAATGGGTCCATTGGCTTGGACCCCTTGCTGTGAATTTGTGCTTGTGTTTCCATTTACCGCACATATACTGAACCAAAATCTACATTTTAACAAGATCCCTAGTTGATTCTTAGAGAACCCCAGGTGATTTCTTGACTACAAAGAGTAGATGGACCAGGTACTTGGAATTTGGAACAGGGTTACAGAAATGTTTTTTCCAATTTGGCTAAATATGACAATTATTGGAATCTGACTAAACATAAATAAAAGGTACACTCTGAAGCTAATGAATGGTTTATCCTTTGTGTGAGAACAAGTTTCATAAAAGCCATTTTACTTTAAAAACTTGATATGAAAATAAGTGCTAAATGTTGAACATAAATTGGATTGCTTTTGAAAGCCTTGGAGTAAGTTATATGTTGTTCATGAACTGTGGCTATGCGTTCATATGGCCACATGTTGACTAATTGTTTGAATTAGGAAAGTTATACCATTTTCAAAATACAACTCATTGTATCTTTCACCTAGGATTTCTGATCCTTCATAATACAGCTTATATAATGACATAAGTGGTGTGTGTAAATTTTACAAAATATACATGTAATTTGATTGGAAGTTTTGCTTATTGTAACTGTCACCGTTTTAATATTAATTAAAAGGCGTTTCTGCATTCTCAATAAATATTCACGTTCATGCATAATTTTGTATTTTTTTTAATAAAGCCTTCCAAGTTAAATAAGCTTCTCATACCACCGAACCTGCTTTAGACCCTGGCTGAAAGATGACTAGATTTGGGGGCATACTTCCTATATAAGTCCACATGACTGGTGTGTTATTTTATTTAGTGTCCTCTATTTTATCTCTCTGGGTTCTAATATCCATTGCAGTGGCTACACAGAACGCACAGACAAAATTCACGATTAAAGGTTTATTAAGGAAGTTAACAAGTTGTAATACCAGTGTTCTCAGAATTGAGAGTGTTGTTCAGGGTTGAGTTAACAGGCCATGTTAGAAAGTTCATTCAGGTCTGCTTATAAATGCCCAAAGGGCATGCCACTCTGTTATAATTATGCCTCAACTCAAAGTTTAAGCTCCATGGGTCAAGTGCCCAGTAGCACCCCACTGCACAAGTCAGTGTCCTGCTCAAAAGCACTTAGCCTTACTTGCTCTGTTCCATCACTCTGTTCCAAGCTCTGGTTCCTGGTTCTGCTGCTTTGATAATATAGCTGTCCTCTGGATCCAGGAGGTTCACAACCCTGGGGTCAGGTCCAGAGGACAGCCCCACCCTGACTCTTGCCTGTAATGAGATCCTGCCTCCTGCTTCTCAGAGGGCTCATTTTATACACAGCAGGATGACACTCAAGGGAATCCTGTTTGCAATGACTTACAGGTGAATCCTATCAGTATCTTATGCCACCTTCTTAGCAGACCCAAGTAGGAAAAGGTTTCTTGGTGATAATTAGAGACTTGGGTTAGAATAGCTACATTAAATAATTCACTGCCTTTGCAATTTGCTGCAGGTCCTGAGAAGTTTTGACAACAGACAGTCATCGTTATATTATGTGTGGATCTTATGCCTTAGGAAAACATGCTTTAGTTATCTATCACAGTCTGTCTCTCTGATTGCAGTTTATTGCTTAGATTTGGTTTTCTCATTTAAACAACTTACAAATCAACCAGTAGCTTGCTCTGTCTCTCCCCACTCATCCCCTTTCTCTCTTGTAAAATGTTATCTTTTCCTTATCCAAGTTAACAATTCTCTGCCCTCTACACTATTTCTTCCCCTTCCCTCTCTTTTCCTCCCACCACTGGTAACCATCAAAGTCGATTATTTTTAGTATGAAAACCGTTATCTTATAGAAAAGGTTCAAGTAGAAAATGTGTTAGAAACGATGACGGCAACATATGTACAAATATGTGTCAGGGTACCTGACCTAACATCATCAAGGGTCCGGTAGGTGCAATTGCACAGCGATAATAAGTAAAGATTATAGTGAAGTCATAGCATGAGAGAGAGAAGAGAGAGAGAAATAATGGAGTCAAGACACATTTCATGGTAGCAGTGCTCACCTCAGCCCCGCTTGGTGGTCTACGTGGAGAGAGGCGTGGGGAAGGAGGACAAGGGGAAAGGGAACAGGGAAGAGAGGACAGGAGAGGAAAGAACAGATGAGAGGCAGAGAAGGGAGCCCGAGAGAGCTTTTTATTGCTAACCCAGGCCTATATACCTTTGGGGGAGTGCAAGCCCACTAGTTACTGGTAAAGACATATGTCACAGGAAGCGGGTGCACTATAGTTTGTACAGCAATGAGAGGGGGACAATCTAGGGATTTTCACGCAATAGGAAGAGGAGGGATTGGGGGTATACATGTGACAAGAAAGGCGGATCCTAGATTAAGGATGGCAGCCTAAAGGATGTCACTGAGCTAGTTTGACATGTCTTTGGGGGAGACAAAACGGGGGGGGGGAGCCTCTTTATAATCCCACAAATATGCATGATACAATTGATGTATGGAATGTTGCAAGAACCCCCAATAAAATGATTTTTTTAAAGGGGGAAAATCCTCACAACTAAACCAATAGATAACATCTTGATAGGTAAAGAAAATATTGAAGTTATCAAGGATTTTGTCTTGCTTGATCTGCAATTTAAAATGACAACAAAAAAACCCCAAACCTTTATCTTGATTTTTTTTTCTTTTATCAAAGTAGTCCCATATTATATTTGTCTTGTGATTGATGAAATTTATTCACGATGATGCCCTCCAAATCTATCGGTCACGAGGTGTTTCATTTTCAACATTATACTTTAGCTATGTGTAGTATTCATTACTGTGCAAATGCCATGGGTTATTTACCCATTCTTCCACTGACGGGCATTTAGATTCTTTCCATCCTCTAGCTATTGAGAAATGGGCTGCCAAGAACATGGGTGTGTATGTATCTGTTCACGCTAGGCCACATTTCTTTAGGGTATATATCAAGTAATGGGATTGCCAGATCATATGCTATTTCTACTTCCAGTTCTTTGAGTAAATACTTTCCACATTAATTGGACAGTTTTACAGCCCCATCAGTAGTATATGAGCATTCTAATCTCCCCTCACCCTGTCCAGCTTTTGTTACTTTTTGGTTTCAGCTTTATTTATTTTTTTCAGCTTTGACAGCAATGCCAGTATGAGGTGCAGCTCGTTTTGATTGGCATATCCTGAATAACCAGTGATCACAAGCATTTCTTCACATGCATGTTGGTTGCCTGGATATCTTCTTTGGTGAACTGACTCTTCATGTCCTCTGCCCATTTTTAATTGGATTATTAGTCTTTTTCTTATTGAGGTGTTGCAATTTTCTATAGCTGTCTGAGATTAGTCCTTTGTCTGATATGCCGTTACCAAATTTTCCCGTCAATAGGTTCTATTTTCACTTGTGCAATAAAATATCTTGATGCATATATGTGTCTTATTTTCAGGAGCTATCAGTCCTCTAGTGTGTCGTGTTGTATGTGTGTGTGTGAGAGATGTTTGATAGTGTGTTTCTGCCATGTATATGGGCCCTTAAATTTCTCCTTGTTATTTTTCAGAGACAATCGTTATAATTCTAGGGATTATATTCAGGTTGTTCATTTATCTTGAGTTTAATTTTGCATATGGAGTGAGATATGAGTCTTGTTTCATTCTTCTGCAAATTGAAATCCAATTTTGATAGCATCATTTGTTGAAGCACCTATCTCTTCCGTATTTAGTGGTTTTGGGCCCTTTGTCAAAAATCACTTGCCTATAGGTAGATGAATTTATTTGGGGATTCTCTATTCCTTTCCCTTGCTCTGCATATCTATTATTATATCAACACCAGGCTGTTTTGACTACTGAAGTTGTGTAGAAGGTTTTAAAGTCCAGAGGTGATAGGCCACACCCACTTTGTTCTTTTTAAGTCATGCTTTGCTTATTGTGGGTACCTTTCCTTTACATACATAACTGATGATTAGTTTCTCCATTTATTTAAAGAATCATGCTATGATATGAATTAGACTTGAATCATACTTTCATGTCTTACTATTCATGAATATGGAAACTTCTTCCATTTATACAGGCCGACTTTGGTTTCTTTTAGTAGTATTTTGTAGTATTATTTGTACAAACCTTTTATCTGGTTAATTTATTCCTAAATAGTTCATCTTCTAGGAGGCTATTGTTTTAGTGATTTTCTTTTCAGAGCTCTTTTTGTTAGTGTACAGAAATCCGATTGCTTTTTGTACGGTGATCTTAGACCATACAACTTTGCTGAATCTCAATTATTTCCAGTCATTTTCTGGTAGAGTAGCTGGAGTTTTCTACATATAGAATCATATCTGAAAATAGAGTTTACTTCTTCTTTGCTAGTTTGGATGCCTTTGTTTTCTTTTTGTTGTTTAAGCGCTCTAAGACTTTCTGCCTAATATCAGATAAGAGTGGTGATAAGAGGCATCCTTATCTGGTTCCCCTTCTCAAGGAGGAGACTTTCAGTTTTTCTCTATGGAATGAGATGTTGGTCCTTGGTTTAACACATAAGACCTTTATTATATTGAGGGATTTCCCTTTTAATCCTATTTTGTTGACAGTTTTTAAAAATCAGGATTTTGTTAAATGCCTGTTCTGCATCAACTGAAATGATCATGCACTTCTTATTCGTTTTTTTAAAGAAAAGTTCAATAATCAGGTGTTTCGTTTTTTCTGTTTTCAAGCCATGAATCTTTATTTATTTTAAATGATTTTTACTGGGGGCTCTTATAGCTCTTATCACAATCCATTGTTTGGAGCACATTTTTATATATGTTGTCATCATTTTCAAAATATTTTCTTTCTACTTGAGTCCATGGTATCAACTCATTTCCCCCCTCCCCCACCCACTCTCCCTCATGAACCCTTAGATAATTTTTTTTTCTTGTCTTACACCAGCCACTATCTCCCTTCACCCACCTTTCTGTTCTTCGTCCCCCTGGGAGGGGGTTGATCATTGAGATTGGTTTCCCCTTTCTCCCCCCACTTTCCCCCTTCCCTCCTGGTATTGCTACTCTCATTATTGGTCCTGAGGGGCTTATCTGTCTTGGACTCCCTGTGTTGTGAGCTCTTATCTGTACCACTGTACATGCTCTGGTCTAGCCATATTTGTAACGTACACTTGGGGTCATGATAGTGGGTATGTTAGGCAAGGTTCTCTAGAGAAACAAATCCAGGACACTTATGAATATATATATAAAATGAAGAAATATAACAGTCCACACAGCAGTACAGAGGGCTCAGTTCAACTCACTTCCATGAAAGTCAATATACTGGAACTTCTTCATCTCACAAGGGCTGCTGGGTCCAAGGTCAAGGAAGACACCTGAATCTTCCCTTGGGCAATGCAGGCAGAGTCTATCCACAGGCAACAAAGAGCAGGGCAGGACACCAACAGTTGGCAGCTTAGGAGCTTAGCTAAGCAGGCCTGGATGAAATATTGAACTAAAGCAGTGCAAGGCAACACAATCAACCAGACTCAAGCTCAAGCGGTGTACCCACCAACAGCATGACGCACTATGTCTCATAGGTACCTCAAACTCTAGGGACACAATCCACAGGTTGGCTGTCCCACAGGTAGTGTAGCTCACAAGTTAAGGCAGAGAACCAGCTAAGGCAACCACACACTAGTCCGATCACCAGAAAGCAAGAGAGAGCAGTGGGC